GAGCCTCAGATTTTATTTTGAAAGGGCGGTCTGTGAGGCAGCCGGTGTTTCCGTGCAGGCTGAGCTGATCGGTGTGTGTTGGCGGTGTTGGGATCAATGCTCTGATCGATGTGATTGATCTGTGTCCGTCAGTGCTGAGCCTCCAGGACCTGTGCTGCCGCTCCATCGTGTCCTGCACTCCGGTGCACCTGGTGGACAAGCTGCCGCTGCCTCTGGCCCTCACGTCGCACCTCAAGTCCTTCTCGGTGGCCACCGGCCTGAACGCCCGCATGATGCACGGACGCTCGTACTCGGTCGCCGCCGCCCAGCACGGCGCCGCCAAGAGGACCGGGGGCGCGCTGCTGAAGAAGCCCAAGTTGATCCGGCCGCCGCTCAGCCCGTCTGCTCAGAGCTGCAGGAACAGCTGCAAGATTTCCTAACGGCAGCGAACGCACCGCCGGTGTGTTCAGGGCCTGAAGGCGTCAGAGGCCGCATCAGACTGTGTGAGCCGGCAGCAGGAAACCAAAGTGTCCGCCTTCAGAGTGTGGTTGGTGTGTTTCAACTGCACCTGGATGACTGTAGAGGAGCTGACGTCACGTAAACAACCGTCAACAACAGTAAACAACAGTAAACAACATAAACATTGAAGGACCAGGACAACTTCTTGTGTCGGGACAATGTCAGGGAAAATAAATCTGAGAAAGTAGAAATATTTTGAGAAAACTTCTTCAAAGACAAATAAATGTATTTTGGGAATAAATTTTAAAAAATCATGTTTTAAAAATTTTCTAAAAAAAACCAAAACGGCGCTAAAACATCTGCTCAGTTTTCTGACACATTCAGTGTTGGATCATGTGGGATATAAATAATGTTCCTGTCTTGACCAGGAAGTGCTCCAGCGTGACTCCAGAGTGACAAACGTCCAGCGTCACGCTTCATGTTCATGTTCTGACCGTTTTTCTCTTAAACAGTAAAACTCTGTGAGACGTGCTGCTTGGACGATTTCTATTTTAAGTTGAAATACATCAGTTCTGACTTGTTTTGGGCCCAACCAGAATATTGGACTGATGTGTGAACTGTTGGACGATTTTGTCTTTTTTCTCACTCACTGCATTTAGTTTTTTTATCTTCATCAAAATATTTCAGATTTTTAATTTCAAAGCAGTTTTTTTTTTCTCACTTTATTCTGAAAACATCACAATATTTATAAAATCCACTTTTTTCCCAGAATTTGAACAGCAGAATGTTAATATAACTACTAAACCTTTAAATGTTTCTTGTAAAATTGGACTCCTGTTTATAGATTCCCTGTTTTTTTCTGGACTGTTCTGTTTGTTCTGACCCGGTTTGACTCCGTCCTTTACAGAGGAGGAGACTTCAGAGCAGAACCGTCTCGTGGGATGAAGGTGAAGTCGTGACGTTGAACCCTCGCGTGGTTCTGGTTTCATTTCGGCCGACTCTTCCTCTAAATCTTGTGCAGGACGTGTTCTGTGAAACACACCTGGACGACGCCTCACCTGTCCACAGCAGCACCTGGAGCCTCGCGCTGCTCCGCTGAACCTCCTGTGATCTGTGTACAATATTTGTACGTGTTGTAAATACGCTGTTTGTTTCAGGAGGCCGCTGCTCCGTCACAATAAAGTCTGTCCTCCGTCACACACCTGTTCACATCGAGCATCTTCACTTTAAAGGTCATGAAGCTGAAGCCCTTCAGATTGAATCATGACTCTGACAAGATTTTCATCTGTTTGTTTCTCCTTAAATTACTTTGTTCATGAAGCAACACAAACTTCTCTCACAAGGACCACGGCTTCATTCTGCATCTGTGT